GTTTAATTAAAAACCTACGGGCGTTACCTTGCAAATTAAATGTTGGTATTTACATGCCAGGGATGGTAAATTACCCTCTTTCCAGTACCTCCATGGGATATTTTACTTGACCTCATTTGTCGTCCTCTTCTTTTACCTTTCAGTTATTTTTTCCAGTCTGAAGGCACACTTTAACCCCCTTCGATCCACGCCCTTGCAGAAGTCTATCTTGATCAGTCTCAGTCGTAATTCAGCTTTCTAAACACCGAAACTAGTTTGCTTGCTGTGTGATGTTTTTTTTTCATCGACCTTTGTTTGTTTCTACTCTGTGTAGTGGCCGTGAAACCGATTCCTGGATCGAGGTGTACCTTGGTGATAGAAGAGTGGTGTCTGGAGTCATCACAAAAGGGAGCCCAAGCGGCGTTTGGTGGGTGAAGACGTACAAGGTGGCGTACGAGAAGCAGGCTTCCTCGGAGCGTGTATATGTGAAAAATAGAGACGGGAACGTCTCGGTAAGTAAATACAGTACCTTTCAGTTTCTAGTTATTAATATATATCTTCTATTACATGTTTCCGGTTTTGTTGCAGCAGATAACAAATAAGTGTTATCATAACACTAAAGGGTTTGGAGAGGAAAAAACTGAAAAACTTGGACAATCTGAGAAAAGATGACCACGAAGTTTGTGTTCTTGCACATTTTCGATAGAGCACTCCTGCATATTGCCTGTCAATGCCATGTATGCGCTAATGCCACTATTCTGGCGTGCTGCCTGTTGAATTGCCCGTGATTGTCGCATACTATCGAAATTTCCTACGTTTAGGTGAGTGCATAGCCCAATTTCACGGCGCTGATTACATCAAGCAAAAATCGGCGCTTAGGCAGCTATTTCACCGTTATCACGGCCAAAAAAAATAATTATTGCTACGGTGAGCGGTAAATACTTGTCAATGCGGCCCAGTGTTGTAGTTGAGACAATCACAAGACCAGACACAAGACCAGTCACAAGTAACAGAGTGAATATTGACACTTGAATTCAGACTGGAGGTCCTGTGCTGGTCTTGTGGGGTCTTGTGAAGGTCTCAAGTGGTCTCGACCACTACACTGCAATACACATGCGTGCGTTGCAGTCGTCTGCTCAACTTCGGGAAGGAATTTGCCGTCTATTGCGCGGAATAACGGAGGCTGAAAGTGTAAATCCGAATGTTCCTCGTGTACTTATGCAATGGACATTGCTCTCTCAACCTCTCACAAATA